AAAAAAAAGAAAAATCCTATGATCAAACCAATCATTCATGAACACAACACGTATTTTGAAATATCACTTTGTGATTTCTGAATTTAAAAAAGCTGAAACTTGACGTCCAGGACTACATGTGAATGTTTAGTCGTTTAAAACCGAGTCATTTGCAAACCGTGATTTGCTCACCGTGAAGCTGTTGTTGATGTTCTTGGTGCTGGTCTCGGCCACGCTGGCGTCTGATAGGTCCACTTCATCAAAAATCAGGGACTGACGGGGAAACAAATGGTTCCTTATTGACACATGCAGTCACAGATTTAATCTGCAGCACGGGGCACTAGTACGCATTTCTGTTGTACCTTGCAGTCTTTGGCGTAGTAGAGCGTCCTCCCTCTGAGTTTAAAGTACCTCCTCTTCCATCTTTGGAAGGAGCTTGTCTGCTTTAACAGGATTCCCTCCTTCACACTTTTCTGTCAGGAGAAAAGGCCCAAAAAAGGTGGAGAAGGTAAGAAAAAGCCAAGGGAAAACAAAATCTCTCATGTAGCAGCTATCCGTCTTAGACTTCACACATAAACAGAAGGAAAACAGAGGGGAATTTGTTACTAGGACAACTTTCTGCTAACAAACTCACACCAGATGAAGAGAGAAGCAACATTACAGGTTTATGACGCTGCTTTTGGTGCGTTTGCAGTCTTTCCCTCAAAGCCCACTCCACACCCACTCCAAAGCAGCACCCACCAGTTTGTTGGAAGCATGCTGCCTATTTTAGACTGCCCCATTATTCATCACTAATGGCAGACCAAGGAGCACCAGCCAGGAGGGGCAGAGGCAGACGCTCAGGCATCCGTAGCAACGAGAAAACGATTTGCATAACCAAAACACGCCAGACGCTCAAAGCCCAGCAGCTCTGCTGTGTTTGATGCAACATGTTGTGATTTGTGGGCCTGACACGATACATTTATTGTGATGAGCGATAATATTGTTGTTTTGAGAATAATGTAATGGCACTAGCAAAGATCGAAGATCAATAAACTTTAAATTGTAATAAATATTTAACACTGGAGCTGGAAGACATTTTAAATATTAAAAATAAATTAACAGAACAATAAATAACATGAATTATGAAAACTCTCTGAACACAATTGTCCTTGGAAAAAGGAGTAGTTGAGACCAAACAAACAGAATTTTGTTGTCCAGTTTTGGATAGAAACAGAGAGAAAAGAGAAAAACATTAAATGAAAATGGGAATTATTGAACTTGTTTTAATTCTTTGTGTGTTTTTTAATAGCTTGTCATTTTCTTTATTGTGTATTTTTTCTGTACTGTGTTCGTTGCTGCCTCTTGGCCAGGACGTCCTTGAAAGACGTTTCTATTTTTCAATGGGTTTTTATCCTGGTGAAATTAAGTAAAAAAAATGCATACAATTAATTGATTGATTGTGACAGGCCTAATCATTTCCTCCCTTCACTCCTTTTGTTTACGAGTACCTGCCCTGAGAGCCGCTGGCAATCAATTTCAGATTGCCATGGAGATCTGCGCTTCCTGTAAACCGATGCTCACACAGCCGGAGAGACAGATAGCACCTTTAAACTCTCGGCACGTTACCCGTGGCCGCCGCTGAACCTGTGCATTTATCACCTAATGCAGCAACAATCCAGCAGGACGGCCGAGGCGGCTCCAATCAGATTAGCCTGCGTGACGCGCGCCGCAGTGTTTCACAGATAAACACTGCATGTCAGTATGTGTTACTGGTGTCGCTTCAACACAGCCTGCAACATCTAAGGTTTATTTTTAAATGCAGTAAAACAAAACAAAACTTATCTTCTCTGATAAGCATAGCAATGTCTGTAAAAAAGTAAAGTAAAAGGCCCTGCAGTTTTGACAGCTTTCGTTTTTCAGTGGTTCAGCTTGTATAGCCGGTGTGCAGCCAGTACAAAGGTTTAGAAACGAGATTCCCGATGTCTCAAAAGGCAAACGTGCTCTCAGGAGTTTATCATGCAAATTATACCGCGGCTTAAATGCTGAAAACAAAAACATGCCTGAGTGATTAGCCGGGTGGCTCCTAATAAAAGATTCAAAGGGAAACCATCCAGTGTTTGGAATATAAAGACGATTCAAAGTTCACGATTTTCTCAGCTTTTTGAAATTGAAATCAAACAAAGCACAAAATGTGTCTGAAGCAAATCTAAAAGAAAATTGTTGGTCTACAGAAACATTTTAGCTTTTTTTTTTATTCTCGCTGCTACAACAGAGAGCTTTTGGCAGGCGCTGGACATTTTGATGCTTTGCTACTTTCTGCTGTGCAGGTTTGGCGGCATTCTGTAAGACTCTTGTGTACGAATAAGTGATGAGGAAAACTGACCCACTTCAGCAGGTAAGAGGAGGGCTGAACGTACTGCAGCAAAATGTTTCATCGTTTTGAAAATTTCACAGTTAGGGGTTTCCATTCTCTAAGAAAAAACAGGGAGAAATGCTAACAGCTGATAACATATTGGTTATAGACATTTAAATTGTCAGCTTTGTAACTTATATTGATGACCACTCACAGCAGTATTCTATAATTATAGCTAATCAAAAAATTTGCAGCCATATTGGCAACTTCACCTTTTGCAAAAAAAAAAAAAAAAAAAGGAAATTAGCCGTTTCCTTTAGTCGTTCACAAGACACATTTTTGTAAAGAACTATTAAATTGATGAGAAATGTTTCTAAGTATTGTTTGAAATTCCTTCATTTTTCACTATGAAAGCACTCAATAAAGAGAAAATTGTTGCTTTACATGGATGTAGAACAGAAAGTGTGACGGTGTTGCTTTCGAAGGAAAAAGCAGAAATCTGCTGAACCTCACTATAAAACTGAGAATAAGTCATAAAAAGGTACTGGTGTGGATTTCTATAAATGATGTTGTGAATAAAGAATCAGATCTCAAAGACGTGGGCTGCATTACTACAAACAACAAACTATAAATATATGTAATTAAGCTTTTTAATTTAAAAAGAGGAAAGAAACACAGACCAAATGATTAATTTAACGCATCACCAGTGCCAATCTCACTTAGCGTGGCTTATTGCAGTGCATTTATCTTTAATAATTGTTCGACCGTGAAACATCCTACCTTATGTCGGCCCCTTACTGTTTTCCACAATAAATGTGCCTTCATCCCCTGAGGGAGAGAAAAATCTATCGCCATCATATTGAAGACAACAGGGAATGAGAGGAAGGGACTGATGGTGCAGCAGTGACAGATTGGCTCGTGGTACGGATCATTAGCAAGAGAAATGAAAAAAGAAAACAGGAGTGTGTCAGCACAGAGGAAGAAAAATAACTCAAGACGTGTTGCAAAACAATGACCTCCAGTAAAATTACAAAACAAACAGATAAAATCAAGGGCTGTCGATGACCTGCAGCAATAAAAGAGGTACAAAGTGTAAAGGTCTGCAAGCTACCTGCAGCATCAGAGATAACATCCAGGGTTCAACAACCTCCATGCAAAACAGGATATTCCACCACAGCAACTCTGAGAGGAGCCATGAATTAGGAGCCAATCTGGAGTTTTTGTTTCTTAAAGCAGCCAATAAAAAGAAAGTAGAACATGTCAAGCATTTGCTCTTGACACTGTTGTGAAGACACAGCGATGGTACATAAACACGATCTGACTGCTTTCATCTAAAACAGAAAAGTCCAAATTAACTACTAAGTCATCACTTAACTTTTGATAAGCTAATGCTAATCAAAAGTTAGCATTAGCTACATGCTACCAAAAACATCTGTCGTCATCAAGAAACATGCTGATTAAATTAATGCATGATTTTAAATCTAAATCTACCTAGTGGAAGAGCACAGTGCAGCAGTGGGCCTCAGGCATATGTGGGTGTAGGAACCATACAGAACATCTAAAATCCATGAATACTTGAGACCACATCTAAAATAACTTATAACTGCATAACAAATGCGCCTTGACATGTATGAATACGCACAGCTAAAACCATCTTAGCGCTAACTCAGAGGCTAGCATCTACAGTCTTCCTTAGTTCTGTTCTTGTACAGCCAATCAGCAACCAGAAGAATAAATGGCGCTCCGAGATTGGCTGCCTAGCAAACACCAGCCAATAGCATGTGAAGTAGCATTGTGCTAAGGAGTTTCAGCTTCCCAAACTGAGTTTTCTTTTAAATATTTTTACTTTATGAGGAAAAATCAATGAATAAGTGGGTTTTCAGCAAATAATAAATTTTCTGGAGTTACATTCCAGAGACGATATCAGGTGATATATTCTTGTTTTCTTCTTTCCTCTTCTCTGCTTCCAACACTCTTAGATTGTAGCATTTGGGACAATCCCATCTGTGTCCAGTGTGAGACTCTGTCCACAAGCTAAATATTACATTAGCGTGTAAAAACTCAGAACAGTTGGAATAATAGCCACCGCAGTAGAAACAATCCTTTGTGGTAACAATATTGCATACTGTGATGCTGCTATACATCTAGACATTTGTAAAGGTTAGAAAGGTTTGCGTCTCCTGAGTGTTGAAGGTTAAACCAAGTGTTGACATGTTAGGTGTGGCAGCAGGCGCTCCGTTTCAATGTTGTCTAGTGATTGCTATGGGAACGGCTCGGAAACTATTGTGTTTACTACGAATAATAAAATGATTACTGCTGTACTGTAAGTGTGAGCACATAAAGCTGCTCTTTCAAAGAACCCGGGCAATAAATGATATGTTTAGGAATTTTTCCAGACTTCGTCCTTCTAATGGCAAATCAGGTAATAAATTAACTAGGAAAGTGCAAGGGGCAAACAGCGTCAGCAGACACGTACTGGACACACAGCGACACAAACACAACATGCGTGGAGCCAAAATCATCCTGTTAGCTTGTGGTCACACGGCTCTGCCCGGCTCGGAGAAATGCTGTCAGACAGACTGGTGTATTTATTAGAGCGGGACTAATCACATCACAACAATAAGCCCCTGCAGACCCAAAGTGCCCGGGCATAAAACACAGGAATGGGGAAGTAAATGTGAACATCCGCAAGCTGCGCACACAGCCGCCGATGGCTCTGAAGGACGCATGAACATACATCTGTCTGATTCAAATCTGCTGGTTTTTTGTACACAGCTCTTTACTTCCCTTATCCATCAAGCCACGCATACAAACACACGTCTGTCAGCGTTCGTCCTGCATCGAGGAGCGACCTTCAGCTCTCAACAGATTACAGAAGTCAGAAATCTGAGGCCGATCCGACCCGTTTGTGGACAAAATGAAGAACTTCTCCACATTGAAGTGTAATAAAATCTGACTGCTAACAACGAGGGCAAATAATGGAAGATAAGCAGCTCAGGTCAGTTGATTGAAGTCTGCAAAGAACCTGTTTAAAGGTCTGAGTGGAGAAAGAAGATGAACACTTTGGGCCAACTAGCTAACCGAGAATTGTATTTAATGCTGCTAGCAGCAAGAGTTAATTTAAAAGTGTTTAACTAA